TACTGAAAAGGTTGCGCATAAAAAATTGCAGACTCGACCCATTCACAGAAATCCGAATGAAAAGCATAGGCTCCCGAGAAAGCAATATTTGCTATGGTGCCAGTGAAAGACTACATTCAAAAATCTGAATTTTGAAAAATTTGACATTTTCAAAATTTTCAAAAAAATCTTCAGAAAAAACCATTGCTTTTCAAAAAACCTTCGGAAAAAGACAAGTTTTAGTTTATAAGCTGTTAAATATATCTATTAAGTCGAGAAAATAATTCAAAAAAATTACATTTTACATTTTCATCAATTTTCTGGACCATTAAGTACAAGAAATCCAGTATTTTGGGTTGGCTCGTTTCAAGACAAAGTTTGAGCAGCAGCGGACAATAAATGCTTTTCTAGGGTCAACTTGATCGCCGGGAAGTTGAAATTCAGCTTGTAAGCTTTTTCGGCTGGCATAGCTGGCATTTAAAGCCGATCAAGTGATGCTTCCGCTTCTTCCGGATATTCCAACTCCCAGATACGCTTCAGATGCTTGCCTTTCACGTCACGTGGCGCACCGAATCCGGTCATGCCCTGAATAAATTTATTTAGATTATAGACCTCCACTACTGCAAGTAATGGGCTCATTACTACGTAAATGCATAAGTGGTACTTCATTTTACGCCGAGTAGATGTAACTGAATAAAAACAAAGTGAAATAAACATGAATACAGAAATAGCAGTGTAAACTTGAACGAGGAGATTGCAATAGAAAGTTATAATAAGAAGGAATGAAATAAAGAGAAAAAAAGAAAGTAAGGAACGAAAATTGGAAAACTTATGAAATTATTATAATGGTAAGAAGTGTTAAACACTGATTGCTGTTCGCGATATAAAAGCTAATTATTCGAGCACTCTACATAGAAATATATTGGCGGCGTAAATTGCGGATGATAACTATTGCTCAGTTTGATCATGACATGTAGCTACATTCCAGTGGAATCGAAGATTTCACACTGGTATTTCCGGCAGTCTTGCTAGTATTAATTTTTCAAAATTTTTGAGCAAAAATTTTTAAATGAATGATCCAAGATATCACCTTTTGGGAATCGCCTCGATTCCAGCCAGCCTGCGATGGGATAACGGTTTCGGACTTCTTCATGTCTTCATATGGCAGCTCGCCGGCTTCCGCTTCATAAGTGGTATTACGTGGAGTACCAAATCCAGTCATGCCCTGCTGCGACGCAAATCTGTAAGTACACATCGTACAGTAATGCTTTTCAAAATCAAAGTCAATCAAGTGAAAACCACCTCCGTATTCGTCATATATAAGAAGCAGAAATATCCAAGGGTAGCAACTAGCAACAACTATCACTCGCTGGCAAGGCTGTCGATGGAACCCTCTTTCGAGAGTGCCTACAAGCAAGCTGGTGATGGATTTGACTTCCTCAACAGTACCGGTGCACCATCGAAACGAATGAAGGAATCCTAGGACGACGGG